AAAAACCAGGAATTCTGAGGCTTTTCCTTGCTCCCAACTCAGGAATTTGGGATTTCTTGCCCTGCTGTGAAAATCCAGGAATTCTGAGGCTGTTCCTTGCTCTCCACAGGCAGTTGATGCCTCCGCCGGCGTTTCCCGTCCCCGGGATGAAATCGGAGCCCGAGGAGAGGAAAGGTGCGGGGTCTGTGCCCGGCAGCCACGGTGAGTGTCACAACCCCCCGGGAGAACCTGCTGCTTGCCTTCAGGGGGCTTCCTGCATTTGGGGGCTTTTTTTAATACCTTTTTTTGGTATTTTAAGGTGATTTTTTGGTATTTTTAATGTGATTTTTTTTGTATTTTTAATGCGATTTTTTTGTATTTTAATGCGATTTTTTTGGTATTTTTAATGCGATTTTTTGGTATTTTAATGCATTTTTTTTGTATTTTTAATGCATTTTTTTTGTATTTTTAATGCATTTTTTTGGTATTTTTAATGCTTTTTTTTTGTATTTTTAATGCAATTTTTTGTATTTTAATGAGATATTTTTGTATTTTTTAGCTGATTTTTTGTCTTTTTTTGATGTGATTTTTTTGTATTTTTATATGATTTTTTGTATTTTTATGTGATTTTTTTTTGGTATTTTTAATGCGACTTCTTGTATTTTTATGCGATTTTTTGGTGGTTTTGTAATGGGATTTTCTTGTATTTTTATGTGATTTTTTGTATTTTTAATGTGATTTTTTGTATTTTTATGTGATTTTTTGATGGTTTTTTACTGGGATTTTTTTGTATTTTTATGTGATTTTTTGTATTTTTAATGTGATTTTTTGTATTTTAATATGACTTTTTGTATTTTTGTGGGGGGTTTTTTGGTGTTTTTTTAATGGGATTTTTTTGTATTTTTGTGTGATTTTATTTGGTAATTTTTAATGCAATTTTTTGTATTTTTATAAGACTTTTTTGTATTTTTATGTGATTTTTGTGTGTTTTTTTAATGCAGTTTTTTGTATTTTTATGTGATTTTTTAATATTTTTAGCTGATTTTTTTGGTATCTTTTAGCTGATGTTTGTCCTTTTTTTAAGCTGATTTTTTGTCTTTTTTAATGTGATTTTTTGTATTTTTAATGTGACTTTTTTGTATTTTAATGTGATTTTTTTGTATTTTTTAAGGTGATATTTTTGTCTTTTTTTAAGTTGATTTTTATGTCTTTTTAAAGCAATTCTTTTGTATTTTTATGTGATATTTTTGTATTTTTTAAGATTTTTTTGTATTTTTAATGGGATTATTTTGTATTTTAATGTGATTTTTTTGTGTTTTTTAATGGGATTTTTTTGCCTTTTTTAATGGGATTTTTTTTGTCTTTTTTTAATGTTTTTTTTTGTATTTTTATGGGATTTTTTTGTCTTTTTTAAATGGGATTTTTTGTATTTTTATGCAATTTTTTAAGGCTTTTTTTTGTCTTTTTTAATGTGATTTTTTTGTCTTTTTTAACGTGATTTTTTTGTATTTTTAACATGATTTTTTGCCTTTTTTAATGTGATTTTTTTGTATTTTTATGCAATTATTTTAGGGTGATTTTTTGTATTTTTTATGTGGTTTTTTGTATTTATGCAATTTATTACTCTTTTTCAGCTGATTTTTCATCTTTATTTAAATGGGATTTTTTTGTATCTTTACGTGATTCTTTGTATTTTTAAGCTGATTTTTTGTCTATTTTTAAACAGGATTTTTGTATTTTCACGTGACTTTTTTTCATTTTTAAGCTGATTTTTTTTGTGTTTTTACATGACATTTTTATGCTTTTAAAGTGATTTTCTGCCTTTCCTCCCCTCCCCGCTCAGCCGTGTGGGTGCACACCCAGCTCCGCCTCCTCCCTTTGATCCCAAATTCCCACTTTTCCTTAGGAATTGCTCTCCCTGCGCTGCCACCTTTGCTAACTTTGCCTTTTTTGTGTGTTTCTTTCTCGTTTCTCTCTTCTCTTCCATGGACGGATCCCACGCCCGTTCCCGCTCCCGTGGCTCCCTTGGATCACCGTTGGCCTTGTGACCTCCACCTGGTGTCCAACTAACAATTGACAATTAACATCTTTTTTTTTTATTATTTTTTAATCATCCTTATCGTTATTAACTCGTTTCGGGGCGTTTTATCTCTCTGTCGTTGGTGGTTTTTTTTAATTTTATTTTCCCTGATGCTCTCGGGGGGCTGGGGGTGGGTTGGGGTTTTTTTTTTTGGTTTTGTTTTTTTCCCCCTCCTTTGTAGATCCTCAAGCCAAGAAGCTGAAGGGCGGCGAGAAGGGCTTTGGGCTGGTGGCCTACGCCGGGGACTCGTCGGACGAGGAGGAGGAACACGGCGCCCACAAAAACGCAAGTACCTTTTCCCAGGGCTGGAGCCTGGGGTACCAATACCCCTCCTCCCAACAGAGAGCCAAACAACAGATGCCCTTCTGGATGGCTCCCTAAAACACAACAATTTGGGGTTTTTTTGTTTTTTTTTTTTTTTTTGCCTCCATCTGGTTTTTTTTCCCCCTCCTAGCAATAATTGCATGGATATTCCAGAACGAACTGGGCAAAAAAAAAAAGAGACACGTGGTTTTTACGTTTGCAGAAGCCAATTTTTCTTCTTCTTCTTCCCCTCCCACCTCGGAAGGGCTCCGTTGTTTTTAAAAAAACCCTTATTTTGGCAGTTTAAAAGAGGAGATTTGGAGTAGTGCCCTCCCTTATTGACACAAGGGAGAAGTAAAGAGGATCCAGGGAAGCCTGTTGGTCCCGATTTTTCCAAGATTTTTCCAAGAGAACTCAAAGGGAAGAGTCAGTGAAGCCACTGCCTTCACTCCACCCCTGGTGTTGGCATTTTACTCCTGCTGCCCCAGCTGCAATGTTGGACTTTTCACCAGAGGGAAGGAACATCCAGGAGTTGTGGAAAAAAACTTCACATTTCTGAAAAAACTCTTTGATTTTTACTTCCGACGTCTCCCGGAACTCGGCACTGTTGGGTTTTTTTTCCTTGGAAAAGTGGTTTTCCTGAGCCCACAGCTCTCACTCTGGGGGAATGCTCAGGTTTTTGGATGGGTTCATGTCACCCCAGCTGGACTTGGCACTGCAGCTCTGGGACTGAATCTCCTCCAGTCACCCTGGAACTGCCCCCAGCCAGCAGCTGGACAGAATTCCAGCAGAATTCCAGAAGGTTCCAACGAGGGGTTTCCCAAAGGCAGGGGGGGCAGCACTTGGGTCCAGCAGCTCCTGGGACCTGGGAATGAGCTGTTGGATTGTGATGGACACAAACTGCCCCGGGGGCTTTTCCCTGCAGGGTGGGGGGTGCAGCCAGAGCTCCCAGTGACGCTCCCAGTGACTCTCCCAGTGACACTGGGACTGCTCCAGAGCTTGGGTTGATGCTCCCAGTGACACTGGGACTGCTCCAGAATTCTGGGTGATGCTCCCAGTGACACTGGGACTGCTCCAGAACTGCAGGTGACACTCCCAGTGACACTGGGAGTGCTCCAGAGCTCGGGGTGACGCTCCCA